AGGAAAATATTTCAATCATTAAAAGGAATGATAATAATCTAGTGAAAATTGTTCTAATAGAATCTCTTGACAGAAATGAGTTGTTCAACATAACGATATATATACCTCTTTGATTGATTTATTTTGTTTTTGACTTTGTTCAACTTTTTCTTTAACAAGTAATTCATTTAGTTCTTTTTCTGAGTTCATATTAGCATTTTGACGTAGTAATATTTCTTTCATTTTTTGTAATTCATCTAATTCTGTTTTAAATATTCGAACAGATTCTGTGAGTGATACATTTTCTTTGTACACATTTTTGCTTGTTTCATCTAAACTCCTAACAATTAATAATGTATATATATATATATGGTATACTATATTTTTAATAATTATATAAGTAGAATATTATACTTACTTTATTGCTTCATCTTGCGCTCTTGCCGCTATTTCTTCAATTTTTTTATTTGATTCTTGTTGTAAACGCATTTTTTCTTCAAAAAATTTTTGTTCAAGTTTTCCCAATGTTTCTTTATGTTCTCGTTCATTCCATAACATTGCTTCTTTTATCTAAAATTTTAAAAGAAATAACAAAACATGATCAGTATGATCATCATTGTATCCAAAACGAGACAAAAGAAATTCAATAATCTCTTAAACATGCATTTTTTTTGCTCAATGAACGTTAAGTTAACAAAATGTTTTACTCTCATGACGTACTTCTTCTAATTCATTTTGCATTTGTGCTTTTTTCTTTCGAAATTCTTTCACTTGGTTCAATTCATGACGTACAATTTCTAAATCACTCTCTTTTCGATTTAATTTTTCTTCAAGTTGACGAATTTGTTTTGTAAAGTCGCCGATCTAAATAATAACAATAAACAATTGAAAGCTAGAGTTTATTGTAACGGGTGGGCCATAAAGAATTACACTACTTTATTTTCGCTATCGGTCAAATTTTTTTTTAAAAGATTCACCATTCAATACTCGACAAAATCATACCTAAACTATAATTTCAGAACTTCAATCAAGAAAACTAAGCCAATTAGATGAAAGTCGAAAAAAATGTAAACTTTCAAAAGTCGAAAATTATTTCTTGTGTTAAAGTTTTGAAAGTAAGAAAAACTGAATTAGCCATTTTGTAGCCCTGACTTCGCTCTATCTTTTAGCTACGCTTCAGATTTTTTCACATCAAAAGCCACAGCGAAATAATAGTTTTTCTATCGGTTGTCATGCATTTTTTCATTAATTT